ATATGTGTATATAGATACATGTTATGTATATGCACACTTGTAGTATGTGTATATTGTATGTGATTTAGTTATGGTAGGTAATTGGTAAATATATGTAACTTGTACATTATATATAACTACCACATATAAAGATATTATAGTATATAGCATTAAGCTATTATAGCATAAATTTATATAGTTTTCTCCTCCATAGTATAATGCACTTCCTTTCCATAACAGCATGCAAAATTATTCAATTACATCAGTCTTATCCTCCCATGGGAACAAAGGAGAATCTCCCTCTCTCGATGCTACAGAAAGTGCCACTCAAAAATCTTCATAATCTTGGACTTAGGGAAAATATTTTCTGACATGACACTGGGAGCACTAGCAGCAAAGAAAAACTATGTCATTTAGACTACATCAAAATTTAAAACTTTTGTGCTTAAAAAAATACCATTAAGGAATTGAAATAGCCAGGCATGGTGGCTCACGCCGGTAATCCCAGCACTTTGGGAGGCAGAGACTGGCAGATCACTTGAGGTCAGGAGTTTGAGACCAGCCTGGCCAACATGGTGAAACCCTGTCTCTACTAAAAATACAAAAATTAGCCAGGCATGGTGGCACATGCCTGTAATCCCAGCTACTTGGGAGGCTGAGACAGGAGAATCGCTTGAACCTGGGAAGTGGAGGTTGTGGTGAGCTGAGATCACACCATTACATTCCAGCCTGGGCAACAGAACGAATCCATCTTGAAAAAAAAAAGAGGCCAGGTGTGGTGGCTCATGCCTGTAATCCCAGCACTTTGGGAGGCCACACGGACAGATTGCCTGAGGTCAGGAGTTCAAGACCAGGCTGGCCAACATGGTGAAACGCTGTCTGTACTAAAAATACAAAAATTAACTGGGCATGGTGGTGGGCTTCTGTGAACCCAGCTACTAGGGAGGCTGAGGCAGGAGAATCGCTTAAACCCAGGAAGCAGAGGTTGCAGCGAGCTGAGATCATACCAACTGCACTGTAGCCTGGATGACAGAGTGAGACTCCGTCTCAAAAAAAAAAAAAAGAAAGAAACTGAAGCATGTGTGGTCATGCCACACTGAACACATCTGTTCTCTGTAGCTAAGCAGGGTTGGGCCTGGTTAGTAAATGTATAGAAAATGCCTGGGAATACTGGCTGTTGTATGCTTAAAAACAAAAAAAAGAAAGGATTTGACAAGATAATTCACCAAATGGAAGAAAACTTCTATATTGAATATCTGGTCCATCTTCTTCACATAGGGTGGGGGATGAATTGGTAGCCAGCACTCTGAGGCATCCTGGCCCATTACTGCGGGAGGTGAACTCTATCCTGTAGTCCTCTCTGGCAATGGTACACCCGCGGTCCCCAATCTCATCCAGTTTATGGGGAGACAACAAGAAGTGGTCATCAGGAGAGAAGTCTGACCTGGTGTTTTGGATGTTTGAGTAGGAGGTACTCTCGGGAAACCCATCTTCCTCCCCACCAGAAGAGAACTTCTTATCACTAACGCACTGCAGATATGTGAATTAGGGTCTCAAGTCTAAGTCTGTATTCCTTGTAAAGAGGGATTACACTGAAAACTTGGTAAAAATTTCAAGGACGGTTTTATTGAGCACAATTGCAATATGTGTTGAATAAAGCCTTATTTTTTGGCTATATGTTATAGTACAATTTAATATGGGAAAGAGATTGAACTCAACCTGAATGCATCAACAAGACAATTCCATCTAAAGAGCAAGGTACCATAGAGGAGCTTGGTAAGGTGTCAAGAGTTGGGGAAGAGAATATTAATAAATTATCATAGGTGAGGGAAACAACTTGATTAGATATCAAGTTTGGGGGGATTCTCTCTAAACTGTCTTATTAGGATTTAGCTATAACTGAGCTCTGCAGGCCAAACACAAAAGTTAGTCAGGAAGCGGGCTCCGAGGAGCCTTACTAAAGTATGATCAAGGAAGGAGTCCTTGAGATCCTCCCAGCCTAGTTCTTGCTAGGGCTGATGATAAATCCTTAAATTTATGGTTTCCTCCCCACATTCCAAAACACTCCCTCATTTCCCCTCTCCAGTGGACATCATTATTAATCATGTATCCATACATGTGAAACTGCTGCGGTATTTTAATTGTTTACCATTTCTTTTCCACAAAGCAATAAGTGCTGGGTATATTCAACCCATTTTCCATGTGCCTCGAGAATACTCTTGTCTCTAATCCTAATGTAACATCATATACATTTTCATTACATTAGGATTAGAAACAAGTTCTGTTTAGAAATTTTATTTTCACATTGAAAATCAATCAGATTTGCTTCAGCTTTAAAGAGTGTGCTTATGTAAAATTGAATGCTGGCAGCAAGCTGCACTTTTTTTTTTTTTCTAAATAGGAAATAGGTTAAAAATGTATTACTTTATGAATATGAGGAAAGCACTCAATAACCACTGAAAACTACATTATATAAATCCTTGTGCCTGATGACTCCTGGTCCACTGACCTTCTTTTCATGAGTTTATTGGCCCTTTTCATGTATCTTGCAGGAATGTCATTCAAATACTTTCCCTATCTTTTAATTAATTAGGTTTTTTTTTACTTGGTACAATAATTTATTATTATAAAAAATATTTAAATTTTTTAGCTTTAGGAATTTTACATGTACTGTTGAATTAGTTTGACAAATCTATATAACTCGTCTAAGATGAATAATACTGTATTTTTTTTATGAGTGGCCTTTTGCAATTAGTATAGAATCCTGAATTTTCTTTTCTTTTTTTTGAGATGGAGTCTCACTCTCTTGCCCAGGCTGGAGTGCAGTAGTGCAATCTTGGCTCACTGCAACCTCCACCTCCTGGGTTCAAGCTGTTCTCTGCCTCAGCCTCCCAAGTAGCTGGGATTACAGGCACCCCACCACCATGGCCGGCTAATTTTTGTATTTTTAGTAGAGATGGGGTTTCACCATCTTGACCAGGCTGGTCTTGAGCTCCTGACCTCGTGATTCACCCTGCCTCGGCCTCCCAAAGTGCTGGGATTACAGGCGTGAGCCACTGCGCCCAGCTGAACCCTGAATTTTCTTTTTTTTGAGACAGAGTCTCACTCTGTCACCTAGGCAGGAGTGCAATGGCACAATCTCAGCTCACTGCAACCTCTGCCTCCTGGGTTCAAGCGATTCTTCTGCCTCAGCCTCCTGAGTAGCTGGGATTACAAGTGCATACCACCATGCCCGGCTAATTTTGGTATTTTTAGTAGAGACGGGGTTTCACCATGTTGGTCAGGCTGGTCTTGAACTCCTGACCTTGAGATCCGTCCACCTCAACCTCCTAAAGTGCTGGGATTACAGGCCTGAGCCACTGCACCTGGCCGAATCCTGAATTTTCATGCTTGTTGTAGCATGGGACAGAAGGTTTTTTTGTTTGTTTGTTTGTTTGTTTGAGATGGAGTTTTGCTCTTCTTGCCCAGGCTGGAGTACAATGGCACTATCTCGGCTCACTGCAACCTCTGCTTCCCGGGTACAAGCGATTCTCCTGCCTCAGCCTCCTGAGTAGCTGGGATTACAGGCGCTCGCCACCACACCCGGCTAATGTTTTTGTATTTTTAGTAGAGACGGGTTTCACCATGTTGGCCAGGCTGGTCTTGAACTCCTGACCTCAGGTGATCCGCCTGCCTCGGCCTCCCAAAGTGCTGAGATTACAGGCGTAAGCCACCGCGCCCGGCCCCAGAATGTTATTTTGTAAGACTAAATACTATCCCACTGTAAGTATATGCATACCACATTTTCTTTATCCATGTAGCCATCAGTGGACATTTGAATTGATCCGTCTCTTGGCTATTGTGAACAGTGGTTTTCAAATATCTCTTCAAAGATCCAACTTTCAATTTATATGAATTGAATATAAATAAACCTAGAAATGGGTTGCTGGAAGAAAATATTTTTTTACTAGTTTTTCAGGCATCACCATACTGTTTTCCATAGAGGTTGAGCCATTTTGCAATCCTTTGGTCAGAGCACAGAGGTTCCAATTTCTCAACATTTTTTCCAAAGTTTATATTTGAGATGTTTGATTTTTCTTTTTTCTTTTTTCTTTTTTTGAGACAAAGTCTCGCTGTTGTTGCCCAGGCTGGAGTGCAATGGCACCATCTACCCTCACTGCAACCTCGCCTCCTGGCTTCAAGCAATTCTCCAGCCCCAGCCTCACGAGTAGCTGGGATTACAGGTGCATGCCACCACGCCCGGCTAGTTTTTTGTGTTTTTTAGTAGAGACGGGGTTTCTCCATGTTAGCCAGGATGGTCTCGATCTCCTGACCTCGTGATCCGCCCGTCTCGGCCTCCCAAAGTGCTGGGATTACAGGCTTGAGCCACCGCGCCTGGCCGGTGCGCTGGAGTTTTATCCCTGAACCTTGTCTCCTTTCAGCCTTCAGCATTTCATCAATTACAATGTAAGTTTTCCTACCACGGTACTGTTTTCCACAAAATTTCTATTCATGAGTTTTTTATTTAGATAGTTCTGACTCTCTTATCAGTTGGGTTGGTTGAACCCCTTGCAAAATCCAGTTTTTTTGCTTTTGTTGTCTGCGCTTCAATCAAAATAAAATCCCCCTTCCAGGTAATCATCAATGGTTAAACTTTGTGAACAGGCATTTTGAAGGATATATAGCCTCAGGACTGCTAATGTTAACATTTTTTTGCATGTGAATTTAGAGGACTGTATTATGACAGGTGCTGTAAACCCATGCTACAAACAGACATTAAGAGCAGCCCAGGCAGTGCACCTTTCTCCCTGGATTCCATGAAAAGACACGTTTTTCTATTCTGCTGTTGGTTTATTGCTTAATTCTGTTCCAGCATCAGAAGTGATTTATAGAAGAAAGTAAGTGTAGACAGAGAGTAATGGGTCAGATGAGCAAGAAATGGAATAAATGTTTGGAGTCCATAGCACCATGGAAACGTCTTAGGAAGAGGGTATAGACCCCCAGTGCTGTCAGTCTCACCCATCCTCCTCTATACGTGTGGGATGTTTCAGGACTCGGTGGCTTTCGAGGATGTGGCTGTGAACTTCACCCAGGAGGAATGGTCTTTGCTGGATCCTTCCCAGAAGAATCTCTACAGAGAAGTGATGCAGGAAACCTTGAGGAACCTGGCCTCTATAGGTAAGAATGACAGTATTATGTTCCCCAATGGATGAGACAAGTGTTTCTAGCTCATTAATGCTGTTCCTTGATTTGGAATATGGACAGGCAATACTTTGATGAATAAATGAGGTATGGCTCTAATGTCCTGTGAACATAGAATCTATAGTCATTTTTTCATAATTTTATTTTAATTCAGCACTATTTTTCTGATTCTGTATTCTAGGAGAAAAATGGAAAGACGAGAACATTGAAGATCAGTACAAAAATCCCAGGAATAATCTAAGGTGATTTAAACTCACAAGACAAAGCAATGTCTCTCTAGAAAATCTTAGAATGCAAGAATATGTTAAGAAGAAGCAAATAAAGAAAATATGCCTAGCATTAAATTTATTTATTCTTAAAATATTCACTCTAAAAACTTATATTTAAATGTGACATAGGCTGGGCACAGTGGCTCACACCTGTAATTTCAACTGTTTGGGAATTGGAGGTGGGAGGATTGCTTGAGGCCTGGAGTTTGAGAAGATCCTGAGCAAAATAGCGAGACTTCATTTCAAACAAAGAACTAGCAATACATGTGGCATACACCTGTAGTCCTAGCCACGTAGGAGGCTGAGGCAGGAAGATCACTTGAGTCCAGGAGTTCAAGGGTGCTGTGAACCATGATGATGCCAATGCCACTGCCACTGCCCTCCAACCTGGGCTATATGGTGACCCTGACTCAAGAAAATGATACAGAAGTTTAGTATTTGTAAAACAGTAAACATGTAAATATTATTAAGAATTTTCGACTGGGTGCGATGGCTCATGCCTGTAATCCCAGCACTTTGGGAGGCCGAGGTGGGCGACTCACAAGGTGGGGAGATCGAGACCATCCTGGCTAACACAGTGAAACCCCGTCTCTACTAAAAAATACAAAAAACTAGCCGGGCGAGGTGGCGGGCGCCTGTAGTCCCAGCTACTCGGGAGGCTGAGGCAGGAGAATGGCGTAAACCCGGGAGGGGGAGCTTGCAGTGAGCTGAGATCTGGCCACTGCACTCCAGCCTGGGCGACAGAGCGAGACTCTGTCTCAAAAAAAAAAAAATACAAAAAAAATTATCCAGGGGTGGTGGCGGGCACCTGTAGTCCCAGCTACTCGGGAGGCTGAGGCAGGAGAATGGCATGAACGCAGGAGGTAGAGTTTGCAGTGAGCTGAGATCACACCGCTGCACTCCAGCCTGGGTGACAGAGCGAGACTCCATCTCAAAAAAAAAAAAAAAACAAAACCAATTATCATATAGTGTTTTTCTTTTTTAAACATATGATTTTTAAAAAATAATAGGTATAGATAGACCATCTTGTAGCCATATGGTCCAGTCAACTTCCAACAATTTAGACAGGGTAGAAAGCCTACACTTTCCTGGATAATGTTGAAAATGCAAGTGCAATCCTTGTTAATAAACATAAAATCACTTACAAACAAACCCTCAATAATGTGCTTCTCATTTTTCACAGAAGTCTTCTGGGAGAGAGAGTCGATGAAAATACAGAAGAAAATCATTGTGGAGAAATTTTTAGCCAGATTCCAGATGACGCACTGAACAAAAAAACTTCTCCTGGAGTAAAATCATGTGAAAGCAGTGTGTGTGGAGAAGTCTTCCTGGGTCATTCTTCCCTTAATAGGCACATTAGAGCTGACGCTGCACACAAGCCATCTGAGTATCAGGAATATGGACAGAAGCCATATAAGTGTCAACAACGTAAGAAAGCCTTCAGATGTCACCCCTCCTTTCAAACGGAAGAAAAGGCTCACACTGGAGAAAAACTCTATCATTGTAAAGAATGTGGAAAAACCTTCATATCCCGTTCAAGCATTCGAAGACACATGATAATGCACAATGGAGATGGACCTTATAAGTGTAAGTTTTGTGGGAAAGCCTGCCCTTGTCTCAGAGTATGTCTTATACATGAACGAGTTCACACTGGAGAGAAACCATATGAATGTAAACAATGTGGTAAAGCCTTTAGTTATTCAAATTCCCTTCAAATACATGAAAGAACTCACACTGGAGAGAAGCCTTATGAATGTAAGGAATGTGGGAAAGCGTTTGGTAGTCCCAATTCCTTTTATGAACATAAAAGAATTCACACTGGAGAGAAGCCATATGAATGCAAACAATGTGGAAAAGCCTTCAGATGGTTCCATTCCTTTCAAATACATGAAAGAACTCACAGTGAGGAAAAGCCTTATGAATGTACCAAATGTGGGAAAGCATTCAAGTGTCCCAGTTATCTTTGTAGACATGAAGTGACCCACTCTGGGAAAAAGCCCTATGAATGTAAACAGTGTGGGAAAGCATTATCTTATCTTAACTTTCAAAGACACATGAAAATGCACACTAGAATGAGACCTTATAAATGTAAGACATGTGGAAAAGACTTTGATTCTCCCAGTTCATTTCTAAGACATGAAAGAACTCACACTGGAGAGAAAACTTATGAATGAGCGCACTGTGGTAAATCCTTTAATCGTTCCAGTTCCTTTCACTATCACGAAAGGACTCACACTGGAGAGAAACCCTATGAATGCAAGCAGTGTGGAAAAGCCTTCATTTCTTCCACTTCCTTTCGATATCATGAAAGGACTCACACTGGAGAGAAACCCTATGCTTGTAAGCAATGTGGGAAAGCCTTCAGATCTGCCTCACACCTTCAAATGCATAAAAGGACTCACACTCAAGAGAAACCCTATGAATGTAAGCAGTGTGGTAAAGCCTTCATTTTTTCCACTTCCTTCCGATATCATGAAAGGACTCACACTGGAGAGAAACCCTATGAGTGTAAGCAATGTGGGAAAGCCTTCAGATCTGCCTCACACCTTCAAATGCATGAAAGGACTCACACTGGAAAGCAACTGTATGAATCTAAACAATGTGAAAAAACCTTTGGATCTGTCAGAAACCTTCAAATTCATGAAAAGACACACACTGGAGAGAAACCCTATAAGGAATGTGGAAAAGCATTCAACAATTTCTCTTCCTTTCAAATACATGCAACGATGTATAGAGGACAGAATGCCTATGAATGTAAAGAGTGTGACAAAGCATTCACATCTGCCAAGATCCTTCGAGTACATTAAAGGACACACACTGGAGAGAAACCCTATGAATGTAAGGAATGTGGGAAAGCATTCAATTATTTTTCTTCTTTGCATATACACAAAAGTGTGCACACTGGAGAGAAGCCATATGAATGTAAGGATTGTGGGAAAGCATTCGGTTTGCCTGGTTCCTTTCGTAGACATAAAAGGGCTCACACTGGAGTGAAACCCTATGAATGCAAGCAATGTGGCAAAGCCTTCACTTCTTCTGGTTCCTTTCAGTGTCATGAAAGGATTCATACCGGAGAGAAACCCTATGAGTGTAAGCAGTGTGGTAAAGCCTTCATTTCTTCCACTGCCATTCGTAGACATGAAAGGACTCACACTGGAGAGAAACCCTATGAGTGTAAGCAATGTGGAAAAGCCTTTATTTCTTTCAGTTCCGTTCGGTACCACGAAAGGACTCACACTGGAGAGAAACAGTATGAGTGTAAGCAATGTGGGAAAGCCTTCATGTCTTCTACTGCATTTCAGTATCATGAAAAGACCCACACTGGAGAGAAACCCTATGAATGTAAGCAATGTGGGAAAGCTTTCATTTCTTCCAGTAGCCTTCGATATCATGAAAGGACTCACACTGGAGAGAAACCTTACGAATGTAAGCAGTGTGGTAAAGCCTTCAGATCTGCCACTCAACTTCAAATGCATAGAAAGATTCATACTGGAGAGAAACCCTATGAGTGTAAGCAATGTGGGAAAGTCTACAGATCTGCCTCACAACTTCGAGTACTTGAAAGGACTCACACTGGAGAGAAACCCTATGAATATAAGCAATATGGGAAAGCCTTCAGATCTGCTAAGAACCTTCAAATACAGACAATGTAAACAAATGTTTATAGCAACTGCCTACTAACATGTTATTCTCTATTTGTTGTTGTTGTTTGAGATGGAGTCTTGCTGTGTTGCCCAGGCTGGAGTGCAGTGGTGTGATCTTGGCTCACTGCAAGCTTCACCTCTGGGTTCAGGCAATTCTCCTGCCTCAGCCTCCTAAGGAAAAAGATGCCTGGGATTACAGGTGTGCACTGCCACGCTTGGCTAATTTTTATATTTTTAGTAGAGACGAGGTCTCACCCTATTGACCACACTGGTCTTGAACTCCTGACCTGAAGTGATCCACCTGTCTCAGCCTCCCAGAGTGCTGGGATTTCAGGCATGAGCCACTGCACCCAGCTGTTATTCTCTATTTAGTTAATTGAGAAGCCATAATAAAATGTCTCAGTGCCATCATGCATTAGATCAAGTTTATGTTACCACATTACTTTTCGAACATTGTGAGTCAGTATTACCAAGTGGACAAAATCCCAGACATCTTTTTCCTCATGTAAATTTTAATTTTCATGCTTATATACTTAGAACATTTGATCCTGATTTTTTGTTCGTTCATAATACTAAAAGTTATCTCAGGTTTTTCAGAGTGACTTTGTGCCAAAAACCCTCAGTAGCATACCTGTCATCAAAGAGGGTATAATTCACAAAAGGACTTACACTAGAGGAAAACCATATGACTGTAAGCCATGTGGGAAAGCATTTTCTGATCTGAGTGGTGATGAAATCCACATGGATTTCAACCCTACAGATGGGTCTCTCTCCCTATTCATTTCTTTTTTTTTTTTTTTTTTTTGAGATGGAGTCTTGCTCTGTCGCCCAGGCTGCAGTGCAGTGGTTCGATCTTTGTTCACGGCAAGCTCTGCCTCCTGGGTTCACGCCATTCTCCTGCCTCAGCCTCCTGAGTAGCTGGGACTACAGGCTCCCACCACCACACCCAGCTAATTTTTTTTTTTTTTTTGAGACGGAGTCTCGCTCTGTCGCCCAGGCTGGAGTGCAGTGGCGCCATCTCAGCTCACTGCAAGCTCCGCCTCCCGTGTTCACGCCATTCTCCTGCCTCAGCCTCCCGAGTAGCTGGGACTACAGGCGCCCACCACCGCACCCGGCTAATTGTTTGTATTTTTAGTAGAGACGGGGTTTCACCGTGGTCTCAATCTCCTGACCTCGTGATCCGCCCACCTCAGCCTCCCAAAGTGCTGGGATTACAGGCGTGAGCCACCGCGCCCAGCCCAGCTAATTTTTTTGTATTTTTTTTAGTAGAGACGGGGTTTCACTGTGTTAGCCAGGATGGTCTCGAATTCTTGACCTTGTGATCCGCCTGCCTCAGCCTCCCAAAGTGCTGGGATTACAGGTGTGAGCCACCTTGCCTGGCCTCTTTTCATTCTAACTTTTCATTCACTCATTGTACCAAAAGTTAACTCATAATGTTCTCAGTGACATCTTGCCAAAGACCACCAGTACCATACTTGTTGTCAAAGAGGGTGTAATATCGTAATAAATATGACCAAAAGCCATACATGACAGTGAGATATATGAGAATTACAAATGAGTCACATTACTGAAAAAAATTTGCTCAGTTTGATAATTTGAAATATGTTTTCTTCTATACTATTCTGAGACATGGTTACAGAGTGCCCTTGTTTTGTCTTGATCCATCATGGTCACTGAAGAGCATTGTCTCACACTGCAGGTGTATGACATGTGTCTTTCCAGTGGCATAAGACTTGGCCTTGTGGCCAGGTGCGGTGGCTCATGCCTATAATCCCAGCACTTTGGAAGGCTGAGGTGGGCAGATCGCCTGAGTTCGGGAGTTCGAGACCAGCCTGACCAACATGGAAAAACGTCTCTACTAAAAATGCAAAAATTAGCTGGGTATAGTGGCACATGCCTGTAATCCCAGCTACTTGGGGGGCTGAGGCAGAAGAATCACTTGAACCCAGGAAGTGGAGGTTGCAGTGAACCGAGGTCACGCCATTGCACTCCAGACTGGGCAACAAGAGTGAAACACCGTTCCAAAAAACAAACAAACAAAAAACTTGGCCTTGTGGTGAGAGGAGGCAGCTCCTGGACTTCTACAGCCATTTTTGCCTTTTTTTTTTTTTTTTTTAACTCCTGAGTAGCTGGGATTACAGGCACTCGCCACCACACCGGGCTAATTTTTATATTTTCAGTAAGGACAGGGTTTCACCGTGTTGGTCAGGCTGGTTTCGGACTCCTGACCTCAGGTAATCCACCCGCCTCAGCCTCCCAAAGTGCTTTTTCATGAAGCAAGGTCAAATAACAAAACAGGAAAAATCCTTTAAGATAAATGAACTTTAAATTTTCCTCAGAAAAACGTGACCCAGCAGTTCATCATCCAGTTTTTGTTTCGTTTTGTTTTTTTGAGACGGAGTCTCGCTTTTGTTGCCCAGGCTGGAGTGCAATGACACGATCTTGGCTCACTGCAACCTCCACTTCCCAGGTTCAAGTGATTCTCTTGCCTCAGCCTCCCGAGTAGTTGGGATTATAGGCCTGCACCACCACACCTGGCTAATTTTGTATTTTTAGTAGAGACGGGGTTTTACCATGTTGGGCAGGCTGGTCTCAAACTCCCAACCTCAGGTAGTCCACCTGTCTCAGCCTCCCAAAGTACTGGGATTACTAGCATGAGCCACCGTGCCCAGCCTGTCATCCAGTTTTTTTTGCAGTATCACAATGTTTTATTTGGAAACATTTACTGATTTTGGGCCAGACACGGTTGTTGTTCAGGCCAGGGTATAATGGTGGGATCATAGCTCACAGCATTCTTAACTCTTGGACTCAAGTGATTCTCTCGCCTCAACCTCTAGCATATGTAGGACTACAAGCATACACCACCATGCCCAGGTAACTTTTCTTTTTTTTTTTTAAGATGGAGTCTACAGTCTCCACCTCCTAGGTTCAAGCGATTCTCCTGCCTCAGCCTCCCAAGTATCTGGGATTACAGGAACCTGTCACCATGCCTGGCTCATTTTTGTATTTTTAGTAGAGATGAGGTTTCACCATGTTGGCCAGGATGGTCTCAAACTCCTGGCCTCAAGTGATCCAACCATATCAGCCTTCCAAAGTACTGGGATTATAGGTGTGAGCCACCATGTCCTGCCAACTTTTAAAATTTTTCTGTGGACATGTGATCTGACTGTGGTTCCAGGCTGTTCTTCAACTTTTAGCCTCACACAATTCTCCCTCAGCCTCACAGTGCTACGATTATAGGCTTGAGCCACTTCAAACAGCCAAATTTAACTTTTATTGTGGTGTTGAAAGGGATTTTTAATGTATTTTTTTCTTTTTTTTGAGACGGAGTCTGGCTCTCTCGCCCAGGCTGTAGTGCAGTGGTGAGATCTCGGTTCACTGCAGCCTCCACCTCCCAGGTTCATGTGATTCTCCTGCCTCAGCCTCCAAAGTAGCTGGGATACAGGTGGCCAACACCACGCCTGGCTAATTTTTGTATTTTTAGTAGAGATGGAGTTTCACCATGTTGGCCAGGCTGGTCTCGAACTCCTGACCTCAAGTGATCCACCCATCTGGGTTTCATGAAGTGTTGGGATTACTGGCGTGAGCCACCACACCTGGTCTTTGTATATACCTTTCTTGTATTACTTTGACCGTGGTAGGACATATCCAATGGGCAAATGATCTAAAAGGCCAAAGCGGGAGGATCACAAGGTCAGGAGTTCGAGACCAGCCTGGCCAATATGGTGAAACCCTGTCTCTACTAAAGATACAAAATTAGCCAGGCGTGGTGGTGGGCGCCTGTGATCCCAGCGACTTGGGAGGCTGAGGCAGGAGAATCTCTTGAACCTGGAAAGCAGAGGTTGCAGTGAGCTGAGATCGTGCCAGTGCACTCTAGCCTGGGAGACACAGCAAGACTCCGTCTAAAAAAAAAAAAAAAGGTTAAATTTAATTTTTGACAACCACTCTAACAAGCAACTCAGGTTTATATGGAAAGAGAAGTATATCACTCATGAACAAGTAACTGGTAAATAAGATGGAATTATGGCTTCTGTGTGATACTCTATTGTTAGGCAAGCACAAGCTCTTTATAAAAGCCCTGTTATATGTAACTGCATCAAACATCATGTGACTACATTACTTGGTTTCCTAAGGACAGTTTATTATTCCTTTATCCCAGGATAATTTTGCATAGCCATCACTCTCTTTGTTATGGGTATCTATGCTTAAATAATAAGCTAAATGAGATTTTGTAAATTGAATGATATTTTTAGCAAAGTGTTGGACTTTGTCAATTACTATGCCTGATAATCAATGTGTCTTACCTGACTATATCACTCCTAAAAATTTCACTGCGGGCTGTGGTCCCTGGATTTCCTGAGGATTGATTGCCCATCCCCATTCCTGTAGATGAGCGCACAATGGTATAAGACTTTCCTGTAATACATTACAGTCTTCAGAGGTTAACATGATATCATCAATATAATGAAACCAGGACCAGGTCAGATGGCTCACGCCTGTAGTCCCAGCAACAAGAGGCTGATGCGTGAGAATCACTTCAGCCCAGGCGTTCAAGGCTGTAGTAAGGTATGATTGCATCACTGCACTCCAGCCTGAGTGACACAGCAAGACCCTGTCAAATTAAATTAGATAGATAAAATAATAATGAAATAAAAATTTTAAAAAATATATATATTTAAACCATGAAAGATTACAGGAATGGGAACGAAGACAAGCCTCTAGCCAACATTCTGTGACAAATTGTAGGACTTTGGAGATAACCCTGGAGCAACCCTTGAATGGCAGCCCACTCACCAGGGCGTCTTTCTGGATTTCCATGGATTAAAACACATTCCACTGTAGCATCTACTAATGTGACAGTCTTCTCTTTATTTTGGAGGACCAATAAGTGGAGAGCTGAACATGAACCCTTTTATTCCAATAGCGGCCTGGCAGGGTAAAAGCAAATTGGTCTTGTGATTAAAGAGAGGAATGCTGAAAAAAACATCAGCTAAATCTAACACTGTGATGCATCCCCAGCACGGACACTATGTGATCAGCTACCTGAGTAATGGGAGCTACAGGATGTATGGATGGGGTTACCTTGGTCAATTCCTGATAATCAACAGTCATCCACCAGGTA